TTTTTCTCTATTCCTTATTTTCTTGGCGTCTATTTTCTTCACTTTATTTGGCCCTTTGTTGTGCACTTTTTGTCCATTTATATTCTCTATTCTTCTATAAATCCTATCCAGACCCTCATAAACATACACAATCAATATGTGTCGCTCCTGACCCCAGTTGACATGGATATAGACAATTGTCATCCATGGGGTTTTTTATACGACCGCAAAAAAAATTTTGTGGTCGTATATTGGTATGACGTTGGCATCGTTGTCGTCGTCCGAAGACGCATTAGTTTTCGCACTCTAACTTTAGTTTAAATGAATGGATCTCTATGAAATTTTACCATAAGGTTCAATACAACAAAAGGAAGGTGGGGATTGATTTTGGGGGTTATGGTACCAACAGTTAAGGAATTAGGGGCCAAAAAGGGGCCAAAAATAAGCATTTTCTAGTTTCCAGACAATAACTGTGGAACGGTGTATGGATCTCTCTGAAATTATACTACAAGTTTCCATACCACAAAGGGATGGTTAGGATTTGCTTTGGGGGGTTATGGCTCAAACCGTTTAAGAATTAGGGGCAAAAAAAAGGTTGTCCTGGTTAATGGACAAATACTTTAGTACAAAACATAATTTAAAGCAGTGTAAGGGAGATAAATCAAATACATCATTGAAATTATCTCCCTTACACTGCTTTTAAATTATGTATAAAGTAATGGTTAATAAATAATTAAGATAATTTAAAACAGTGTAAGGGAGGTAATCCAAATACAACGTTTTGGTTACTTCCCTTACACTGCTTTTAAATTATGTTTAAAGAAATGCATATTTATAAAGGAAGACCAGTAAAAATATCTGCAAATGTTGCATCTTTTTTTTTTACAAAAAAATCCATATGAAAGATTTGACACTATATTTTAAATTCTATTATAAAATAGATTAAGTTAGCACTATGGTAAATTTAAATGGGTAATTATGGTTTGGGGGAAAAAAGGGGGGGGGGGTAAAAAGAAATTGTGGGGCGTCAATTTTTTCTCATTTCAGATTTCAGAAATTAAAAAGAATTATTCTTCAAATATTATTTTTTTTTCAAATTTCATATATTGAAAAATTTCAAGAAGTAATCTTTAATTGCACAGTATGGCGCATTAGATTTGTAAAATCTTTGACCACATTTATTTATTTGTTATGCCGAATCTAACCGTGTATTTAGATTTTTAATTTTGGATCTAGTTTTCAAATTGGTCTACATTAAGGTCCAAAGGGTCCAAAATTAAACTTTGTTTGATTTTAACAAAAATTGAATATATGGGGTTCTTTGATATGCTGAATCTAAACATGTATTTAGATTTTTGATTTTTGGCCCAGTTTTCAAGTTGGTCCAAATTGGGGTCCAAAATTAAACTTTGTTTGATTTCAACAAAAATTGAATATATGGGGTTCTTTGATATGCTGAATCTAACCATGTATTTAGATTTTTTATTTGTGGACCCCGCTATCAAATTGGTTCATATTGAGGTCAAAAGGGTCCAAAATTAAACTTTATTTGATTTCATCAAAAATTGAATTATTGGGGTTCTTTGATATGCCAAATCTAACCGTGTATTTAGATTTTTAATTTTGGGTCCCGTTTTTTAAATTGGTCTACATTAAGGTCCAAAGGGTCCAAAATTAAACTTAGTTTGATTTTAACAAAAATTGAATTTTTGGGGTTCTTTGATATGCTGAATCTAAACATGTGCTTAGATTTTTGATTATGGGCCCAGTTTTCAAGTTGGTCCAAGTTGGGGTCCAAAATTAAACTTTGTTTGATTTCAACAAAAATTGAATATATGGGGTTCTTTGATATGCTGAATCTAAACATGTATTTAGATTTTAGATTTTTGGCCCAGTTTTCAAGTTGGTCCAAATTGGGGTCCAAAATTAAACTTTGTTTGATTTCAACAAAAATTGAATATATGGGGTTCTTTGATATGCTGAATCTTACCATGTATTTAGATTTTTTATTTGTGGGCCCGCTATCAAATTGGTTCATATTGAGGTCAAAAGGGTCCAAAATTAAACTTTGTTTGATTTCATCAAAAATTGAATTATTGGGGTTCTTTGATATGCCAAATCTAACCGTGTTCTTAGATTTTTAATTTTGGGTCCCGTTTTTTAAATTGGTCTACATTAAGGTCCAAAGGGTCCAAAATTAAACTTAGTTTGATTTTAACAAAAATTGAATTCTTGGGGTACTTTGATATGCTGAATCTAAACATGTGTTTAGATTTTTGATTATGGGACCAGTTTTCAAGTTTGTCCAAGTTGGGGTCCAAAATTAAACTTTGTTTGATTTCAACAAAAATTGAATATATGGGGTTCTTTGATATGCTGAATCTAACCATGTATTTTGATTTTGGACATTGGACCATAATAGGTACATTAAAAAAAAATTGAAGTTCTTAGACCACATTCTTTCTGTGTCAGAAACCTATGCTGTGTCAAATATTTAATCACAATCCAAATTCAGAGCTGTATCAAGCTTGAATGTTTTGTCCATACTTGCCCCAACTGTTCAGGGTTCGACCTCTGCGGTCGTATCAAGCTGCGCCCAGCGAAGCATTTTATCTCATCTGTTGTGATGATATAACATTGCTAAACGAGTCCGTTATAAAAAAGATGTGGTAAGATTGGCAATGAGACAACTCTCCACAAGAGACCAAATGACACAGAAATTAACAACTATAGGTCACCGTACGGCCTTCAACAATGAGCATAGCATATACCGCATAGCCAGCTATAAAAGGACAAAATACTAGGAGTCCATTACTTCTGATATTACATATAGATATATGATTAATGTATAAATACGCAATCACGTATACGTCTGATGCTAAATTGTTGGCTTTGTTGGAAGGCAAAATATTTAGCCCTATACTGACTGGAACTAGTATATACAACTGAAAACTAGATAAATAATTAAAAATCGAGGAATCAATACATGCTATAACAGCAAATCTGAACGGAACCAAAACGCATATTAGTAAAATTATAAATATACAACTTGCATTTCAGCAACTGTTTTGTTAGTAATTATTTATGATGCAATTCGTGAATAAATTATCCTACACATTGGAACAAATGGGAAGTCAAAATACGTTAATTTCTGGATTAATACTTCTGCAAAGACGATGTCATTATATTGTTTCAATAAACCGACTTAAATAAAAATCAAATTATAACTTTGTAATGATTATAAATGTTTACCTTTTGAACTAAATTTTGATATATTGAATATAGATACAGAAAAAATGAACTCAAATGTTTTATTTGCATGTATTGTATGACGTATTTAATAACATCTATGTGTAAAGAAACGTTTGAATTGCCCGATCTTTTTGTAAAGCATGCTATTTTGACGATTACGAATTCAGACTCTGACACTAAGAAAAATCTTATTAGAATAAAAAAAAAATTCTGATCGGCCGTATATAAACCTCCCATCACTTTATTCATATCACATATCAATTTAAAAAAATTCGCAACGATGTCAAAATAGAAAGGCTGACCAAAATGTTCAACTTGCGGCTAATGATTGACAGGTATGATTAGACCTTGAGGCTCTTGTGGGGAACGTGGTGTCTAAAGTAAAAAGAAGATTATTCAATTATTTATTTTAGGACTCGTACGATATGTCGATCTGATATGGAAAATTGTGAGTTTCTTTTAATAGCACAAAGAAATAAGACGATAGAAGGGTAACAACTGTGTAACCATAAACGAATGACTCGTATATATAATTTACGGGACTGATTGTATCGCAAGTTTGATGAAAATATTCGATTTCAAACCTTCTTGGTTGGAATGAACATGTTCGATGTATATGCAAATAGGTCTTTATTATATAATGTATTTAAATTATCTTCATCAAATACAATACAATATATAACATGTATCTATGATATCCTCCATAAAGAGTAAATATCTGTACAGGTAAAATTTAATTCTGATCAATCGGGTACAGATTGAATTATTTACGACCTTCCACTTGTATTGTACAAGGAATATCACAGCAGGTGTTAATTACACTAGGACAAGTGTCAAATCAGTATGACATCTTGCCGGATAACTGCATCTTCAGTAAAAAGACTCTATTAGTACAGGAACTGATTTCTTTTCTAAACATGACAATAAAGAAGAATTTTATAAGGTGAGAATATTTGTAGTTGTGTATTCATCCTGTTCATTGGTCACATTAAAATAGATTTTTTTTTATTGAACAATTACCAAATTCGATATTTAAATCGTAAGTAACTTTATTATCTCGACTGAAAAGAGTAATAAGACAGTTTTGTTTATCTGACTGTAAACATTGTATATATCACAACGAGCTATTAATAACCATCGCTCACGCACCAGTAGTTCTATTGACGACTCAATACACACCAGTTTTATCGGACCAACGGCTAATTCCCGTCGACACTGTATAATGGATTATGTAAACATCTATATACAACGATCTATTAATAACCGTCGCTCACGCATCACTGGTTCTATCAATGACTCAATACACACCAGTTTTATCGGACAAACGGCAAATTCCCGCCGACACGGTAAATCTCCGGATGACATGCATAATTTTCTGTGACACAGCAAATTTACAATGAACCTCTAATTATTTTCCGTTCCGCGCAGATTATCCAAAAATCGCGGTCATTTGCCAAATAGGTCTACCAGTGTAAGATTCAAATACCTTTCTAGTCACATCAGTAGACAGCAAAATCAGTATATTAATGTAGGACCTAGAGATTTGTTTTTTATTTACCAGTTGTTTCTTAAATAAATTAGAATAATCATGAATTAAATGCAATTGTTACATTGAATTCTTTTAAAATATTTGATAATGTCCATTTGTCAGAATTTATGTTTCTTTAAAATTAACCAAATGCTGTTTATTATGAAATTTGCATCTTGAAATGATTAAAAATCTCCAGGGAAATTAAAATATTGATTCAATTGTTCAATATAAATTTCAGGTTTCAGAATGAATCCCTCATCCTGGCCATCATTTCTACAGAAAACACTTACTGGAGCAGTTGTAGCACCTGACAGTTGCTTTAAAAAGGTAATTTTAGATGGGAAATTCTTTTTACAGTAGATATGGTATTGAATGTAATATTAGTGATAGTGTTCTAGCTAGGATTTAAAGGGAAGATGAACATAGTTTGAGACGAAGGGGACTTTAGAACAGTTTTTTTTTTGTTGAAAAGGGACAATTTGATTATGTTTATAGATAAAAAAAAATTGCATTAAGTGAATAAATAATCTATTTTTGATGTGTAATTTAACCTTGATCTACATGGAACTGATGGAGATTTTTTGAAAAAGATTAATCATAATTACATTTGTAGTACACCTTTAGACGAATAGTTCATATTTACTTCTGCAACAAAACTCTAAAGTTAATTAGTAGATTAACTGTTCGATCAACAATGACTGAATGGAATTTTTTTAGTCAATTTTACATTATGGATTTCATGTAAATGTAAAATAAAGTGCACACATGTACATGACTTAATTAAGTAGATATGCATAGATTGGTTCAATAATTTCCTTAACAATAATATACCAAAAACTTGTTTCATTTGACTTTAAATCCTTTAAATTGTCCATATTATTTATTTTACAGGAACCATCTACTCCAAAAAATAATGAATTTAAAATTGGTCAGAAATTAGAAGCTGTTGACAGAAAGAATCCTCAGTTACTCTGTCCTGCTTCTGTTGGTGCTGTAAATGGTGACCAGATACATGTCACATTTGATGGATGGAGGGGTGCGTTCGATTATTGGTGTAGATTTGATTCCAGAGATATATTTCCTGTGGGATGGTGTAATGCAAGTGGTCATCCTATACAACCACCAGGACAGAAAGGTATTTTAAACATTATAATCTTCAAAGGAAATTCCATCCCCAGATGTTACATTATTCACATGATGGAGACTCTTCAAAGGGAATTCCTGATCGATTAGATGTTGTGGACATTCTTCATACACTAGGAAATCAAATTTTAACTGAACAGCTCTTTAAAGACTGAATAATTCATTATTAAGTCATGTTCAGTCTTTTAGTCAATTTTCAGACTTATCCATTGCAGTAAATTCAGTACTCTTCAGGCAATTGGCTTGCAGTTATTTAAGATGAGTCTATGTTCAGACTGTTCATTAGTTGTTATTTAAGATGAGTCTATGTTCAGACTGTTCATTAGTTGTTATTTAAGATGAGTCGATTTTCAGACTGTTCATTTGTTGTTATTTAAGATCAGTCTATGTTCAGACTGTTCATTTGTTGTTATTTAAGATCAGTCTATGTTCAGACTGTTCATTTGTTGTTATTTAAGATCAGTCTATGTTCAGACTGTTCATTAGTTGTTATTTAAGATCAGTCGATGTTCAGACTGTTCATTTGTTGTTATTTAAGATCAGTCGATGTTCAGACTGTTCATTTGTTGTTATTTAAGATCAGTCTATGTTCAGACTTCATTAGTTGTTATTTAAGATCAGTCTATGTTCAGACTGTTCATTTGTTGTTATTTACCTGTATAAAACAACAACAAACTGAATTGTATGAAAAGCTACTGAACAGTACTGGATTGACTACAAGAAAAATGTCTGTACAGTACTAAAAGTACAACACAAAAATCTTTGAATATTAACAAGACTTATCGTTTATAGATTCAGACCTTTCCTATGTTGTTAAGACCAACATAACCATTTATGACTAAAATTTGATTACTAGTGAAAGTTTCAAGGTAATGTGCTTCGATTTTAGATTGTAGGTTATCTTTGGCAAGGTTAAACCTGAGGCTTTAAAGTTGGCGTAAGCTGTATCTTTACTTAAAATGCAGTAGTTTGGGGCATGATTTGGATAGCTCAGATTCTTTTAATAATTTGTACATATGACCAACCTTGTTAACTGTTAATCATTTGTAATAATCTGCTTAAAATACAGAGCTTGGCTAACAGGGTTATCTCTGAAGCACAACTCCTTAACTGTAGGACGGATATTGATGAAACTTTACACAGTTGTAGAAAACTACCTCAGGATGTGCTTACATGAATATATTACTAGTCCTTCCAGTTAAAGGGGAGATAATCCAACTAACTTACTTCAATATAACAATATGCTGTAATAGTCTCTCAAAAGTACAAGTCCTCCTCAACAGATGGACAGATATGGTTGAAACTTTACACAATTGTAGAGTACTACCTGAAGATGTCCATGGAGGAATATAATCCCTGTCCAACATGTAAAAGGGGAGCTAATTGAATTTGCAAGTAGGGGTGTTATTTAGTGAGTTCCCTTATAATTCTATTTTAGTTTTGATAATGTTTCAGTGTAATATAGTTTCAAAATTAACTTTGGACTGATCAATCAGCCCTCAATTTTGACTACTTAAGCAGTCGCCGGGGCGACCTTAAAAGCCCACAGGCGACCTAAAATTCACTGTTGGTTGCCATTTGGCGAACATAACTTTTTAAAACTGGCTACTGTAAAAAAATCTCTTCTGGATTTTTTTCGGGCACTATCCCTTAAAATGATATGATCATAATTTTTGTGGCGGAACAGAGACAAATATGTTGGGTATTGTTGTCTATTCTGCTGTAGATGAGACAAAAAGGATTAACTATGAAAAACACCTCAAACAGTCAGGGGACTTATTGAAATAAGTGATTTTTAAATCACTTATTTAAGTAGCAAATTCGAAGTACATGAAGTATTGTCACAAATTGTGATTTTGTAGTTTTACCAAAATTTTAAACACATAGGTTTAGATAATATCTTTTCATTAGTAAAATTGAAAAAAACGAATTTTTTGCTTCTTTTAAGCAGCAAGGTTTATGCCTTTGATGCAATCATTTAGCTGCAAATTCTATTTTAGTTGAAAAAATGCTATAAAAATGGCTTTACATAATGAACTGATACTTTCTTAACAGATTTTTCCAGCAGTGGGAGTATTTTTCCTGTAAAATTCAAGGTTTCATCTTATAAGATTATGTAATAAAATTCTACTGTTCGCGATCAAAATTTCACTGTTCGGGGGTGTTGAAATTAGTGGGGGTTATTAAAATAATGATACTTAAAGAAGTGATTTTTTGGAAGGAAATTGAGGTATGATATACTTAAACAAGTGATTTTTATGTCATTATCCTAGATTTAGTACAAGGTCATCACCTGACATGACCCGGTCATCCTTTCAACACAGATGTTGGTTCTGATAATTTTAGCAACATAATTAGTCCCTGGATCATTAGTATTCTATATTTAAAGCTACAATAAAATTAAATCACTTAGTCTAGTGATTAATTTGTACTACTCAAATAGGTGATTATTAAAGAAAGACAACTCTTACTTCCAACCTTTATGGACATAATGTTACTTCAATCAGTGATTTAGAAAATCACTCATTTAAGTAAGTCCCCTGACTGTCAAACAGGAGAAAGGGGTCTAGGTAAAGTTTTCGCGAATGCTGTTCTGTGGTGTTGAGAGATTCAGGTGCACAAAAAACACAATGCAAGCTGGCCAAAAAAAAGTTGAAAAAAATCACTAGTCCACCTACCTACCCTATTATTTTAGGGTACGCAACAGGAAACACACTTACTTTATTTTTTACCTAGTACACAATAACCATCGGATATAAGCTGTTCAAAATTTTTATTGACAACCACCATACATGATCATATAAGATTTATACTTCAATTCTAGAGAAAAATATTAAGTAATATGCTCTATAAGAGACTAATGGCTAGTCATGTTATGCTCTATCATAGCTAATTTATTAGGCAACATGAAACTACTGTCTAACCACTAAAATTTTGAATTGGCCACTGAAATTTTATATCTTGTGGCCAAATGGCAAAAAAAATTTTATTTTGAGGGCTGTCAATATAGATATGAACTGTAAGACAACAAAAGTCATCACGTTTTACCTTTATTATGTGTACATGTAATTTTGTAACATTTAGATAAGGGTTTGTTACCCTCATACTTATTCAACTAGTTTTATTAGTTAAACAGACCAAAAAAATTTTTAAATCTGACAATCAGTACTATTCATGTATATCTAAGTTAAGAAAGAAAAACTGGCATTTTCATAGCTTAGACATGTCATTTAAGACCATTTTTTATGATTAATTTCTTCACTTTTCTTTTTAGGCTCTAGCAAATATAAAGGAAATAGAGGCGTTAAAGAATCCACACCAACTCCCTCACTGCCAAGTCAGAGTGGATCCTCCCCCTCTCCTAGTCCTAATCAAGATAAACCCATGTCTCCAAAAAAGGAACCTGAGTCATCTGTACAAGTCACGGAACCAGACACAAGTTCTCCTAGTCTTACAACAGGTAACCAGTCATTTCACTCAATCAAAGTAATTAGAAGAATTATTTCTTATGACACTAAAGTATTATTCGTGAACATTGCTAGCATGAATTAAACAAGAAACGTGGAGAAAACATTTATGTGACAGCAACCCAACAAAAAAAGTTGAGAAAAAGTTAACATCTAGAGGTCATTTTACAATGTCTTTATTGATTGCAAGTACCTACTTTGTAAACCAGGAGTCGGTTTCTCAAAAAAACTTACGACTAAGATTGATCGTAAGTATTCTGAATTGTTCATGACTTATGACCAATCTTAGTCGTAAGTATTTTTGCGAAACTATACTACTTGGCCAAATATAATCAAACTTGGCCACAATCATTATTGGGGTATCTAGTTTTAAAAATGTGTCATAGAAAGAGTTAAATTTCCAGCAATAATGTCATGTCATAACTGAAAACATAAGTTTATAAAAAGGCTTGAAAGAAAGTCAGACAATATATGTAGACAGTAGTGTTATTATGTTATGTTGGTAAATAAAACTACATAGTCAGTTAACAAATACAGCATTTTATTTTGATGTCTAATTGAATATTCCAGTTTGTGTATTTGTAAATCACAATTGTTCCTGTGGAGGTTACTTACATCCTAGAAAAGTTAGTCAACTTCCAAGTCAGTATGGACCAGGGGCTATTGCCAAGGTAATGAGGGAAGTTGCTCAGGCCTGTATAGATTGTGCCTTGCAGGAAAAACAGGTTTACAATATGATGCGAGAGGGAAGTGGAAAAGTTATTGTCACAGGTATGTTTGATTCTGTATGCTAGTTTTCACACTGTTCTTAGTGTACCATGTAGGTAAAATTGAAAAAAGGTGTGCGACTTTTTTTATCTAAAAAAATGCAGCAAAAAACTATTGATCTTTTGAGGAACAAATTTTACTATGCTTATGTATGTGTATTAATTCACACACATGGTATCTTGATATTGTACAAGTTTAAAAGTTTCCAGATATCGTGATCTTATCAGTGTATGGCAATGGTTGGAAATATCTTACTACAGGATCTACAGGACATCAATTTTCGTTGTTTAGGATGTTGGCCAATAGCATTATTTTTCTGAATGCTTCAAATTCTGAAAAGGAGAATTCACCTCACAGATTCATTATGTGTCATAGATACTGTAGATTCAGTAATTATTGTGCGCATTTATTTTTGCTATTTTTGAAGAATAGTTAAAATGCAAAGTTTAATTATAGCGATTTCAGAAAAATCTGCATACAGATGTATGTATCACTTATCAGAATGCAAGTTCTTATTATTGCGATACTCGCCCAGTCGCATTATTAGCATTAATAAAACACACAATAATTTCTGAATTTACAGTATACAATGATAACTGCACACATTAAATATTCTCAATTTAATAACTTCAATTTTTTTTTTTAATTTTAGCAAATCAAGGGAACAAAACACATACAAAACGACTGCCTCCTGTAGAGAGGTTATCCACATTATGGAGGTTTATAGAGAGGATGCTGGAAGAATTAGGGTGCTGTGAAAACTTATTTACTAGTCAACCATTGCATGGTAGCTGTCCAAAGTGTAGTCGTAGTGGAAATCCTAGATCTGGTAGGTCAACTTATATAGTAATGAACATGGGATTGGAAAGTGTACTGATCCCTGAATGGGTCAAAATGTAGAAAAAATTGCAGTTCTAAAAATTTAACATAATATGATCTTTAATGTCAAAGGTCCTTTTCATTTAATAGTGTAAATGTAATTTGGTTATAGAAATGAATGCTGCTTTTTGAAAATTATATATAATGAAAGCAAGTGACCATCAACTTTTTGAATGAAGTACGGTAACCCTACTTGCTTAAAATGTGATTGGTTCTGGCTTTCATTTCGTATAAACCTTCAAAACACAGCTTTAAATCTTTATTTTTACAAATTTTCAAAATAAAAATAAAAAATATATGTTATCAAGATTTTGAATGTTACAAAAAATAGTAAATTACAGTGGTTGCAATATAGGATTAACCATTGCATTATTGCAACAAATCAGTATTTAGTTAAAATAAAATTGACCGATGACCCTTTATGTACATTTTGTAAATCAGAGAACGAGTCTATAGAACACCTATTTTGGAATTGCAATACTGTACAAAATTTTATACAGGATATTAATAACTGATTCCTTTCTGGTGGAATAAGTCTCCCAATGAATAAATTAAACTTTCTTTTTGGAGACCTATCCAAGATATTCCCCAACAACCCATACAACATGATTTTTCTTTATATTAAGCAATATGTGTATAATTCTAGATGCTTTAAAAAGAATCTCTCATTGCAAGCAGCTATAATAAAGCTGAAAGATATGTATAAATTAGAGAGTATGATAGCTGTAAAAAATAAAAAGATAACTGAATTTGACAATATATGGAATGTTTTTGAAAAACTTTTATTGAATACCAGCTAATGTCTATTTTTGTTACAATAACTTATGACTATTTAATTATAATCTATTTTAAAGAAAATATTATTGTCATGTTATGTACTTGATCTGTGTTGATGGCTGTTACGAAAGAAATATGTCTAGTTAATTTTGCAAATATTTTTCAACATAAATATGTGATATTTAAAATATAGATAAGGATGTAACTGGATAATCCTTTTGTTTTTTATTTTGTTTTTTTTTTTTTTTTTTTCATTCTTCCTTACTCTTAACTCCAATCTGTTAATTATCATTATTTATTTATTTATCTATTTATTTATTTATTTAGTTATTTATTAATTTTTATATATATTTTTTTTTTTTTATCTTTTCAATAGAAAATGTAAAATATTTCCAATTAAGATGTATTTATAATAATGACATTGTATATATCTTATATGTATTATATTGTATGTATGTCATGTATATGTTGTAATTGTTGGAAATAAAAAAATCAAAAGTTAAAAAAAAAAAAGATTTTGAATCTGAAAGTTTAACTTTAAACTCAAAATTTTAAAACAGAAATTGTCTTGTGAGATGAAAGCTGTAATATTCCAAGTGAAATAAACTACTGTGGATTCATTTAATTTTGTTGGTACCAATTTTTAGGAACAAATGTATTTTTGTGAATATTTGATTTCATGGTTTTGTAAAAGTTTGCTTACAACATGTTGTTTGTACAAGCCTATAGAAAATTTGTACTTCATTAAACATTTAAATTCATGGTTCACATGTACCCACTGAATCCACGAAAATTGGTATCCCAGAAATAATAATGAATCCACAGTCTAAGTCATAAAGCTGAAATTGGTGTTATAACAACAATAATAAATGAATTCTTTACTCACTAATGTCATAAGGTATCTATTTTTACCAGAAATTGTTTTGTTGGAGAAAAATAGATTTTATATGAAAACATTTATTTTAGTGTTCAACTTTACAGAAGAAGAATTAGAGAATAGAACAGCAATAAACAAAGCATTGAAACGGCGATGGTCAACAGAATCGACAGATAGTATGAAAATAAAAAAGGCTGAACAGAAAATACGCAGATTCTCAGCATTTGAAGCTGAAGGTGAAAAATAATAATCTCTTTGATCTGATTTAGTTAATTTTTATGCCCCCCCTGTCGCGGAGGGGCCATTAAGTTTTACCCTTGTCCCTCTGTACGTCCATACGTACGTCCCAAAATTGGTTTCCGTTCTCAAACTTTAGTTTGCCTCAACAAAATGTTATGAAACTTATACACAATACTTATTACCACAAAACACAGATCAAGTTTGAATTTTGATGGCATCATTTTAACCGTTCTAGAGTTATGCCCCTTTACAAATGGAAAAATTGCTAAATTTTTTGTTTCTGTTCTCTAACTTCAGTTTGTCTCAACCAAATGCTATGAAACTTATACACAATGCTTATTACCACAAAACACAGATCAGGTTTGAATTTTTGGTGGCGTCACTTTTACCGTTCTAGAGTTATGCCCCTTTATAAATGGAAAAATTGCTGAATTTTTCATTTCCGTTCTTTAACTTTAGTTTGCCTCAACCAAATGTTATGAAACTTATACATAATGCTTATAACTACAAAACACAGATCAAATTTGAATTTTGGTGGCATCACTTTTGACGTTCTAGAGTTATGCCCCTCTACAAATGGAAAAATTGCTGAATTTTTCATTTCCTTTCTCTTACTTTAGTTTGCCTCAACCAAATGTTATGAAACGTATACACAATGCTTAAAGTACAAATTTGGGTAGTGTCACTTTTACAGTTCTTGAGTTATATCCCTTTATAACATTATATGCAAGGGGGGCATCATCTGTGTCCCATGGACACATTTCCCATTTATTAAACATTATTTTGTACCATGAATTCAAAAATTCAGAAAAATTGAGCTCACAATGAGAATTATTGTGTCGCTGACAGTGTCTAGATATCACTAGAGTCACATACTGATCACTTCTGTTGACTTCGTGTAAGTCACACTGCATCTCCTTGAAGAAAACTGGACAAAATTCAACCAAAATTGCACAGATTCTTCTACAAGACATGAAGTTGAGAACATGCTATTAATTTTTCATCTAATGTGATTTTTGGGGTTTCTGATACTAAAGTAAGATATTTCTTATTATATCGATTTGATTAAAATCTACAACATTTTGAAAATAACTGGACAGAATACAACCAAACTTGTATATATTCTTCTACAGGACATTTTGCACCTGCTATTTTACTTTTTTAATTTTTTATACGACCACAAAAAAATTTTGCAGTCGTATATTGGTATGACGTTGGCGTTGTCGTCATCGTTGTCGTCCGAAGACACATTGGTTTTCGCACTCTAACTTTAGTTAAAGTGAATGGATCTCTATGAAATTTTACCATAAGTTTCAATACCACAAAAAGAAGGTCGGGATTGATTTTGGGGGTTATGGTACCAACAGTTAAGGAATTAGGGGCCAAAAATAAGCATTTTTGTAACTTCCAGACATAACTTGTGTGTTAGTGCATGGATCTCTCTGACATTGTACCACAAGGTTCCATATCACTTAGGAAATGCTGGGATTGATTTTGGGGGTAATTGCCTCAAAATTTTAGGAATTAGGGGCCAAAAACAAGCATTTTTCTAGTTTCATGACAATAACTTGTGTGTAAGTGTATGGATCTTTCTGAAATTGTACTACAAAGTTCCATATCACAAAGGGAAAGCTGGAATTGAGTTTGGGGGTAATTGCCCAAAACGTTTAGGAATAAGGGGCCAAAAATAAGCATTTTTCTAGTTTCCAGACAATAACTTGTGTGTTGGTGTATGGATCTCTCTGACATTGTACCACAAGGTTCCATATCACAAAGGAAATGCTGGGATTGATTTTGGGGGTAATTGCCTCAAAGTTTTAGGAATTAGGGGCCAAAAAAGGGGCAAAAAACAAGCATTTTTCTAGTTTCCAGACAATAACTTGTGTTCAAGTGTATGGATCTCTCTGAAATTGTACTGCAAGGTACCATACCACAAAGGGAAGGCTGGGATTGATTTTGGGGGTAATTGCCTTAAAAGTTTAGGAATTAGGGGCCAAAAAGGGGCCAAAAAATAAGCATTTTTCTAGTTTCAGGACAATAATGTGTGTGTAAGTGTATGGATCTTTATGAGATTGTACTACAAGGTTCCATATCACAAAGGGAAAGCTGGGTTTGAGTTTGGGGGTAATTGCACTATGTATAGGAATAAGGGGCCAAAAAAACAAGTATTATTCTAGTTTCCAGACAATAACTTGTGTTCAAGTGTATGGATCTCTCTGAAATTGTACTGCAAGGTACCATACCACAAAGGGAATGCTGGGATTGAGTTTGGGGTGATGAATCATAAGGGGGGTTCAAAAAAATTTTTTTCCTTTTTTTTTTCTTTAAAATTTTTCCATTTTTAATTGGTTATTTCTAATTTATATATAAAAGCAAATAATAATGATATGGTTTGAATAGGTAAATTAAATTTTTTTTAAGTTCTTAGTCCACATTCATTCTGTGTCAGAAACCTATGCTGTGTCAAATATTTAAACACAATCCAAATTCAGAGCTGTATCTAGCTTGAATGTTGTGTCCATACTTGCCCCAACTGTTCAGGGTTCCAACTCTGCGGTCGTATCAATCTGCACCCAGTGGATCATTTTATTTCATCTGTGACAGTAATTAGGGGTTTGTCTTCATAGCCTGTTACATCAGACATGATCCTTATGTTGTGGACTGGGCTTAATAGTGAATTCATTGTGCCTTTCTCATTGATATTTTATATGTATAAAAATAAATAACCCTGCATTTATCTCAACCGGATTCATTCTCTTAATCTCTCTACTGTTATCACTAGATGGTTGACACTGAGTTTGTGAGTTCAAATCCTGCTCATGGCAGGTGCGTTTGATTCCTGTCTTAATTGTCAATGATTGACAGTTTTCCTGTCTAATGTAGGTTGTTCTCTTGGGGTACTCTGGCTTCCTCCACCAATTAAAACTGGCCGCCATGATATATCCAAGAGTGCTGAAAAACACCAACAACGGATCAATCAATTTCTATAAATTGAAAAATAATTAACTACTTTTACCTGAAGTTAAAAATATAATTTGTATGATAATTTTTTATTGCAGCAAGTTCAACAACATCAGATACTAAGCCAACAATTCCACAGAAACTTCCTTCAGATCCTACGATGTGGACCATAGACGAAGTAATACAACATATTACTGAAACAGACCCGGCCCTCAATACGCATTCAGACCTCTTCAGAAAACATGTAAGTATACCTACAATGTGGACCATAGACGAAGTAATACAACATATTACTGAAACAGACCCGGCCCTCAATACTCATTCAGAACTCTTCAGAAAACATGTAAGTATACCCCTCTGGAGTATATATAAAAAAAATTATGACAAATAAAAAGTAATGCCAAAAACACAGACCCTATATCTGGAAACAGTCATATACGGTAGTCTTTTCTGATATTTGAACATAAAGGACTGAGATAGTTATTAAAATCTCAGACTTTGGGATTTGACAGTCACAAATGCAATTTTACTGGTGACATAGGGAGTGTAGACACTAAAAACAGATGTTTGTAACCATCACATCTCAAATTGATGGTGGCACATCTTCAAACACATTACTGTTTCTCCTTTTATAATGAGATACTAGTTGAAGTTTGAAAATTACTCGGAAACATCGACTGCTATTGTGCCTCAACCTTCAATCAAACAATTGACAGCAGACATCATCCAATCAAAAATACATATCATATGGCATTAGAATGATTGTTTTATACAATGTTCTTCGTTTTGAGAATATAATTCATCACTGGATGGCCGTGTGGTATGATTAAAAGTAGAATTGATGATAAAATAGTATATATGAGAAAAGATCATTTTACCTTTGAAATAACAGAGAGGCATATAACAGTTATAATGGCCATTTTGACTACAAATCATACCATGTCCTTTCTTACTTGAATCTCAATCAAAATCATTTAATTTTATATTTTTATTTCCAGGAAATAGATGGACGTGCATTTTTGTTATTGAATAGTGACATGATGATGAAATATCTTGGACTTAAGTTAGGACCAGTGCTAAAACTTTGTAACATTGTAGAAAAGCTAAAACACAAAAGATGATCTGGACCTGGACCTCATGATGACAGCTGAAAAAATTTACTCTTAGTTGTTAAATACCAAGCATTCTTCAAATAAAATAGATAAAAGACTGACAGATGGAGTTATCTGTCCTTTGGTATCAGTTTATATGATGTTGATCAGTCTAAGAAATCCCCCACATACAGGTTAAACTTTCAAAACCAGAATAACTTACTTAGAAATCCTTTGATAGCATTCATTAACATGAGGGCACGGATCAAAGTGAAGATAACATTGTGGTAACAGTTCAAGGATAAAGTTTATTCTAAGAAAAGCCTAGTGGACATTTGTTTACCCGTTTTAGGCAGGGTCCTTTACTGTTAATTCAATGTTCAGATCAAGTAACAGTGAATGGATAATCTCACAGAATACCTTGTGATTTTGTATAAAGGTAAAGGTCAAAGAACATTGAATTGATGATGATTATAATATGGATTTTAATCAGATTTTGTATATAATTTGGGCATACTAAACTTCAACAGAAAATGAAAAAACCCAATATGAAATGTAGGGTATATATTTCAATAACACGATCCCAACATGTGTTTTAAAAGCAGTTGATTATACAATATGTGAAGCCTTAATTTAAACAATATTTATTCAGATAAATCTTCACATAAATTTAATACACTTGAAATGAATATCTATTATTCAGAAACATGCAAAATTCCTTTTACAAATCTGTCTCCAAGTTAATTTTTTTAAAGCTCAAGCTTAAATCGCCTTCTCTTATTTACCTAAGGCATTTCTAAAATATGAGTGAATATAAATTCACTTATTTATTTCTGACTTTCAAGAATTCTTTTATAATATTCATCACTGATTTTACAGTCACTATAAAACAGGCACCATTTTTATTCATTTTAAGTTGACCATGTCCAAATCATTGGAATAATTTTGCAAAGTTAGTGACAACTGCTTTGTTAGTTCTTTTCCATAAATGTGTTAAATGTTATAGCAAAAGGTTTACCAATAGTTGACAAATAGAAAGGACCAGTTCTTGTGCCTAAGGTTGGGTAATGTGGATTTAAAGTACCAATAGTATATTCTGTATATTAATTTTACTTGATGTCAAGTCACATCATTTAAATATTTTTTATTAATGAATATTGAAATGCACTTTGATCTGCTAGATAATAAAACTATCCATCGTTTACTTAATCATTAAATTGTATTATACTATATGTTCATTAGTTTTCGTGGGTACAAATTTTCGCGGATTGAGGAAAACTTTACATTTTCAAGGATATTTGATTTTGTGGTTTTACCAAAGGTTGCATACAAGCTTAAGCCTTTAGACAATTTGTAAATTGTTAAACATTTAAATTCGTGGTTAGCCTGTACAAAGGAAATCCACAAAATTTTGTATCCCATAAATTATAATGAATTCACAGTAAATGTGTATGTTTTTGTTAATAAGGACTTGATTCATTGTTACTGTTTAAATGTTATGAACAGTTGTCACGGTGATGATTAATGTCTCTGCAATGTTACGGTATGTATATTTTTTAACAACATCTGTTTAATACTTGCAGGCAAGTTCTATTTACATGATGATTTAAACACTTTTGTGAACTTGATTGCAATTTTTATTTCATCTAAGATGAAAGTACTACAGCAAAAGTAGTTATATATTCCATTGGTGCTAATATAATATTTCTTGTTTTATTATAAAAAATATTGCCTTTTGCAGGTTCTTTCATGGACGTAAAATATTAAGGATGAAAAAATAAATCTACTGTGGTTTAGATAATTCTAAAATTCTTCAATAACAAAGGTGAAAATTTGACAATGGTGATATTACTGTGACTTGACTGTAAAAGTGTTGCTCTCCACCTATTGCAGTTTATTCAAAATTCTGACCAAATTATTTGTTTTATCAAACCAAACTGTTCAACTGGTCAGAAATTAAAACAAACTGCTGTAGAAAACTACAGTCAAGTTGTGAAAGTGCAAGGTAATAAAATAATGCATACTAACAATTCTATTAGACTTTAATTCCACTTCATTGAAATTTTTGAAAATGACGATAAGAATTTCTATACATTCTTTTATTGTAATTGTAATTCAAAAGGAGATAGGAAGTAATTTTTGAATTGTTAAAAAAATGTCTAAAATAAGCTTTCATACAATTTTCCTTTTCAAAAATCTTCTCAATTCATAAGAATGAGACATCAATGTGAATGAAACCATGTTATATTTCTTGAAATATATGTGAACTTACAATACATTGTTAATATATATAAGTTTCCATGGGAGATAATCTAAAATCATTGATGTTTTGAAATATTGATCTTATCTCCCTTATAAACTTTTCAAAATATCAATGAAGTGGAATTAAAAAGTCTAATAGAATTGGAAGTATGCTTTATTTTATCACCTTGCACTTTCACGGCTTGACTGTAGTTTTCTACAGTAGTTTGTTAAAATTTCTAACCAGTTGAACAGTTTGGTTTGATAAAACAAATTGCAATTTGGTCAGAATTTTGAATAAACTGCAACAGATGGAGAGCAACACTAACCATGCTTACAGTCAAGTCACAGTAATTGAATTGAAATGATTTTTTTCTGTTGAAACACAGAAATATGTTCTTGTGTTACAAAATAATAAGGCAATCACAGTTTGAAAAGCCAATATTATATAAACTTTTAGGTTTTTTGAAAGAAAGAAAAAAAGTAACAGAACAAAATCATAGGGTTGGGACGTTGTTCAATTAAAGAAGAATTAATGAATTTCTTTTGAATGGATTAATACCTCAGATTAAAACATGTACTGTAAATTCAGAAATTATTGCGAGGTTTTTATTAATGCGAATAATGTGACTGGATGAGTATTGCAGTAATAAGAACCCAAATTCTTATATCTGATACATATAACTGTATGCAGATTTTTCTGAAATCGCAATAAATAATCTTGCATTTTAGTCCATTCTACAAAATCCGCAATAATGAATGCACGCAATAATTTCTGAATTTACAGTAATTATTGGTTGATTTATTAAGAAGGAAAACACAGATATGGATCAATTTCCTGTAGTTATGTTGCTGTATATAGTTGGTATGTTACCACAAAAGGACGGGTTCTTGAATATTGAAACTTGATATTTCACAGCCTGCTATTTCAATCATGTATTTCCAGAAAACAATATGTTTGAACGTGTTTCACTGTAGATAGTCACTAAGGTTGTGTATTATTGTGATATTACTGTATATAGGGCTTTTATCGTCTATATGTATATAACAATTCAATGACAAATACTGTTAAACCTGTTTTAAATTACCAAATTATAAACAGTGAAAATTTCATATAAATAAATAAATGTAATTTGTTCAAACAATTATGTTTCTGCAAGACATTAATGAAGATAGGGCAAAGTTTGAAGACTTTTTTATGCAGCTGTTACTTACATTTGTTTCTAAGTTAGATTGTTTTATGATAAAGATTCTTGAGTTTGCAGGTTATCCGTGGTTTATTTAAGACAGGTTTTAGTGTACAGTTAAATCCAGTAATTTCTTTGATCCCTCAAGGTCATATTGGACGTATGAAATTGCTGACCAGCTTGGTAATTTTAATCTTAAGCTTTGTTATTAACAATTCAGTGCTTTTGAATGCTTACTTAGTGCTTAACCATTGTATAAACTATTATATGTATGCACTTGTTTACTTGTACTTGTAAATATTTGTTAGTGTCTTTTTCTTTTAAGTTTATAAATGTATTGTTGTTGCCATTTTTGTACACCTGCCTTATTATGTCAACACTATCCGTAGCTGTAGAACCATGGCTCTTATGGTCCTTGTGATATTTTTTTTTTTATAATTTGCAAACCATAGAATTAAAATATTACAAGGACCATAAGCGATACTGTTTCCATAGTTACACTAATGGATATTCATGTCATCATTATTTAAATAGTGAATCAATTGAAGTTTTCATCATGTTCATAGTAAAAATTCTAAAGAATTAACCAAAATACATTTTATATATTGCCTGTCTTACTATGTCTCTCTGATCAGGACTAAAAGGGAAAGGGTTAAGTTTTCAAATAACTAATTTAACCCTGGCACATAATCATTTGCCTTTCACAAGTCAGTGAACTTGTCAGTGCTCGCCTTTGGTCATATAATGTTTTTTACCCTTTTATGAATTTTGAATTGATGGGAGAACTTTGCATTGATAGTCTTTTAATATCTTAGTCTTTTAATATCAAAAAAGAAGAAAAATCGGTAATGTATTAGACATTGGACACGTTCATTGCTCTTTACCATTTTGGACATTTTCTTTAAATATCATTTTAGGCAATATTTTTTTCAATATGTTAAACTGTAATTAATAAACTTAATACTTAAGATAACTCTAATTATTACATTGATGGCAATGAATACCATGATTTCCCAGTGAAATAAAAACCGATAATTTCACATGTGAAATAAACTCGATAATTTCACTCCTCTGAAGTCATACAATAAAAAGTGTTGTCAATGTCGTGGCATCAAAGAAAATTGTTTATGCGTAGAAAAAATATAGTTCCTTGCATTTTCTATTTTATTTCCATTAAAAAGCCCATTGTCAATGTAATAAACAGACTTACTAATCAAACGATTCAAATATCGAAAAATATTCAACTCGTGACCGAACAACACTGATAATTAACTCATGTGCTATGCGCATTCGTGAATTAATGTGTTGTTTTCGGTCACTTGTTGAATACTTTTCAATATTTGAATTCTTCAATTAGATATTCTATAATTGTCAGATAAAAGTGATAATGAAATATTAGTGTACATTCCATTTTAATACATTACAATGGGTATAGAGATTATATTAGTGTAGGGCTGTTTGACATTCAACTCTTATTTTTTTCCTAGTTGTTTAATATTGAAAACCATGTTTAAGAGTCCTGGAGTCGGTTTCACAAAAATCTTACGACTAAGATTGATCGTAAGTATACTGAATTGTTCATGACTTACGATCAATCTTAGTCGTAAGTTTTTTTGTGAAACCGACTCCTGAAGTATCCAAAGAAATTGAATTTGAATTTAATGATATGAAATTTTGTAACAACATCAGTGACACATTTTTTAATTAATGTGTTTTATAGAACTCTAAAAAGGAAATATGAGTTCTGTCACTGGTTTGATCATAAATTTGGGATATTAAAGTTTTAGCGATGTGAATGTAATTGATATAGCACAGGGGAAATATTACTTTCTTATCATTTATAGCACTCAAAATCTGTGTTGGATTCTTGTAATGTACAGTCTATGTAGATCTATGTAATGATTTAAATCAATGATAAATCGTAATGCTTTAATTTCAAAATATATACTTGTTTACAATGTATAATAACTACCATTGGTGGACCTATGGTACCAAATTTTGTAGCATCAGGTACCGGTATACATTTTAGCAAACAAATTTTGTAAAATAGAAACCTACTATAAGAATTTTGAAATAAAAATCTGTCTTATCAGGAAAATTACAAAATGTAATATATTAAGGTTTTTAAGAAATTTTTTTAAAATACATTGGATTTGAGAAGAGAAAATTAATTCAAATTTTATGTTATTTTTGTGTATATAAACCAAAGCCTTGCTTTTATTTTATAGGAAATCTACAAGTTTTTCAATAATGTATGTATTATAATTTTTAAAACCTGCTATATATTTTTGCTCTTTATTTATTAGTTTCTATTCCACTTATACATAAGCAATGAATTTGATAGCCATTTAATTAATGGAAGCATACAATTTTAGGGCTGTACCTTCGGTAATGATGTTTGAAGGGTGCATTTAAACCCCCATGTCTTACACCTTAAATCTTTGCATAATGTGCCACCCATTGACCATTTACAAGTTGCTTTCAATAAGACAATGATCAGCCTTGTGGTCTCATGCTGGTTAATCTCCTGGAATGTGGGAGGTCATGGGTTCAATCAATGGCTCAAACCAGACTTCAAATTGTTGTGCCTGTGATTGAGAGTTAAAACAGACTGATAAGCTTAGAGTCAGAACAAAGTGTCAAGAGGGGATGACATATCTTGGGACAGTGAACTTGTGAGCTTACACTTTCAATATCTTTTTCATCTTGTCAGTCATTTTCATTTAAAATTAACATGTAATCATGAATATAATTGTAATATTTGTCACTGAACATTAAGCATCCACTAGTCAGTTAATCATTCATTCAATGTAACCACTAACATTTGAACATTTTATCATGTTATATTGCATTTAGATTCTACCCAGAATTCCACCTCATTTGCTTAATTTTTAAAGATAATAATTTTGCAACATGTATTATATATTTGAATAAGAAAAAAAAACATATTTATCTCATTTTTCATTTAATTGTTGTTCATAGATCCTTTTGAAGGACAAACAGTAAGTTTTTAATCAAAATAGATTTCTGAAATAAATCTTTAGAATATTTTCAGCATCAGTTATGAAATGACTTATATTCTACAGGGTAATCTGCAGCTTAACTTTAAAGTAAATATCTTGTTAAATTTGAATAATTTAATTTAGGATGTAACACATCTTCTGATTGGCTGAAAGTTTTTTGTTTTTCAGCTAATAGACAAAATTTTGTCATGTAATCGTGACATCAACATTTTTTTTATGATTAACTCCTTAAAAATTAAATTAAGAATTAAATTATAAGGAATGACTGTAATATTTTTTTCTAACTATTCGAAATAACCTAAAAAATGTGGTCCACACTTTTAAATAACCCGCTACATGGGTTATTCAGTGTGCACCACATTTTTGATGTTATTTCTTCATAGACAGAAAAAATATTACAGTCATTCCTTAAAAAAATAGTGCAGGGAGCTCTTTGTGAAGTTTGGGTCCTCAATGCTCTTCAACTTCGAATTTTGTTTAGCCTTTTTTAACTTTTCTGATTCAAGTGTTACTAATGAGTCTTTTATTTGGGGT